GCGCTCATTTCAATAAATTAATACTACATATAGAGTCGACTGAACGCCAAGATTTGGTCTCTCATTGCTGTCGAGTCGGATGTTCTCCACATTTGTATACATTATTATGCGATCAAATCTAACACTTTTTTCATCATTTAATCATTTAACGTAAATAACCAATTAATATGTAATAATTCACTTTTTATACAATTGTATTTACAAATGTATTTCTAATTCATAACTATATTCTATCATTTCTATCAATTTGTATGAGTCTTTTGTTACACTTTGAACATGAAATTAAAAATATATTTATAATATTTACATACATTAGTTTACAAATCATTACTCAATAAACAAATTTATTATAATTTTTGTTTTATATAAAGTTGATATTTGAGTAGTTCCTTAAAAACTACCAATATCAAAATTGTGAACATTATATTTGCAACTTTTAAATAAACTTATTAATAAAAATCAAACATGTCAAATATGTCTGATAAAAACATAATTAAATTGAAAATTACAATGAAATTAGCATTATTATTATCTGGTTAAATAAATAAGTGAAATGCAAAAAAATGTGTACAAAAGTCTTATGTATAAGACTTACAATAAGTAAACCACAAGAATATTAGTATCGCAAGAATTGGCAGCATTTGAATGGCAGGCAATAGACGGCGGTATAAGTGATGAGCGAATAGTATTGTGAATGAGAAGTGGTTTACAATAATGTAATGAATAGTATGTTTACTAAATATGGTTATTATGTGTTGAATACCAAATACAGACACTCAACACATAAACACCACTCAATTGGCAGCTGTTATACACTTCTCGGCTTTAATTCAGTTTCATTTATCCTTCACTTCAATACTCATTCAAATTGTAAGTTATTTTACACTTAATTATCATTTATTAACAGAAAAAGTTTGTAATGAAAAGAGTTTTGAATTATTAATTCACTAAACAGTCCATTAGTTTTGAATGAAATGTCAAAATCGATATTTCTATTAGTTTTTGGTTTATAATGAAGTTTTGCTAACAAAACAATTAATTGAAAGTTGTGTTTGATTTGTGCAGAAAGTGGTGAAACAATGTCCACATCTCCGGTGCCATCGCGTCGACAGCCGGTCAGTAGTCCGACGACTCCCCCGACGGCGGGTAACGGAAAACCCGAGTCTTTTCTCGACTATTTGGGAACTTTGGGCCGCAAGAAGAAGATGAGGGAAGGTATCAATCAATCACATCCCATGCCATGCAATACAATATACACAACTCATCCATATTTTATCACCGCTTTTACACTCCAGACTGTGCTCTCACTCTCACGCTATCCGTTACTCACAAAACCATTTCATATGCTTTTGCTGTCCATTAATCGCACTTTTAATCCAATCTAAGTTTTAACTCGTTTTCTAACGGCTATTATATTTCGCTAAATATTTTTGTGAAACTATTGTAAGTTTTGTTAAATATTAACAGCAATGAGAGAGAGAGAGAGAGAGAGAGAGAGAGACCTAAACTAATACCTTGATTATATATTTTGATGAAATGTTTCAGTGGAAGAGGCGAATAACATTGTAGAAGAGGGCCGTCAAGCGATCGACAGTAACGCACAGCACCCGGTCATCGACGCCCTCCCCGAAGAATTTGTCTTAAGTAAGTTATTGTAACCATTAATTAAATATAATGATTACTATTTTTATCAATATACTGTATAAACATCAGATGGGTTTGAAAAGTATAAAACTATTTAAATTAATTAATAATTTTGTTGTTTGTTTAGATGAATACGAGGAGAGATCAATGATAGAGCCGGGAATGATCAACAATCATGACTACCAGGAATTGCTTAAAATTCTGGTCAATTGGATCAACGATGAGCTTAGGTTTTAATGAAAATAAAATGTCACTTATTTTTAAAACATAATTACTTACAAATATATGTGTTTTGCCGTTGAAGTGATCAGAGAATTATCGTTAAGGACTTAGAAGAGGATCTGTTTGACGGCCAGATATTGGGAAAACTGATTGAGAAGTTGAGTTTACAGAAGTTGGATGTGGTGGAAGTGACACAGAACGAAGATGGTCAGAAAGCCAAACTCAGGACTGTCTTGGATCAGGCGAACCGACTTCTTGGCATTCAGGCCAAGTGGTCGGCCGTCAAGTGGACTGTTGAAGGTTTGTGTGAAACCAGTGTTTTAAACGCCATTTGTTAAGTCATTAATCCATTTCTAAAGGTATTCACAACAAAAATATGGTCCAAATAATTCATCTGTTGGTCGGACTGATCCGTCACTACAGAGCGCCCATCCGTTTGCCACAGAATGTTGTCGTCAATTTGGTTGTCGTTCAGGTGCTGTCCATTATAAACATGAGCTGTGATTTGCGATTGATTGTAACGCTTTGTATATTTGGTAATGTGTTTGGACAGAAACGTGAGGGACATCTGCACACGTCTACAGTGACGGAACAGTTGACCGGTTCTTACGACGAGTTGGGTATGCGAGTGGAGCCTCGGGACGCGTTTGACACGCTGTTCGATCACGCGCCCGATAAGCTACAGATCGTCAAACGATCGCTCGTCAACTTTGTTAACAAACATCTCAATAAAGTCAATATTGAGTGCTATGTGGGCAGCAGTGGTGTCGACTTAGATCCCAACCAATTCAGTGACGGACTTTTGTTGATATTCCTGATGGGAATGCTTGAGGGATACTTCGTTCCGTTGGGCAACATATTCACCACTGCTGTCGACCCCATACTCGAGGCCACCACTAATAAGGAGACAGCTATACAGCCGGACAACTATGTGGAGAGCTCTCCCATCAATAAACTTCATAACATTAACGTCGCCTTTCAACTGATGGAGGACTCAGGCATTCAGGTATACTTTGATATAGCATTTCAAACATTGCTTTCAATGCAATACAACTAATTGTTTGTATTTTTAGGTCAAACAAAAAGTAAGAGCCGAAGACATTGTCAACGCCGATATGAAGTCAACGCTGAGAGTCCTGTATATGGTTTTCACTAAATATAAACATCTCTAAGAGATTCATATTATCACTAATTGTGCCAAATATTAGACATTATATTTTGAAGTCTTATTAATTTTTAACATTGACTTACTTTTTATCAATTTATTGATATTAATATACAAATAATTAAAGGCAGCGAAGAATTTGATTAATATATTAAGCATTTACTAATCAAGCATTTATTTTACATTATTTTTAGTATTACATAATCTAGTTTTACATTATTTTAATTATAAAATTATAATTTTATTTGCTTTTAAAAACTAATTTATTAAATAAAAAGCTTTTTTACAACTAAAACATGAGTACATTATTTGATGTATTACCGGTATATTGAAATTACCGGGAAATTATTATGATGCTACCGTATTATCATGCTCCAATCATGTAATCTATTGAATATTACATTTTCCATGGAGTCTACACAACTCGATATATTAATATGCGTGTATTATAATTTAAGTTACAGTATACAACATATTACCGTTAATAACATTTGTTATATTCTCTTATTATTATATTATAGATGATATTATAGTTATTATAAATTTAATTTATATAAAATAATGATATATTTATAATTGTTCAAGTGTTGTTATTTGTTTCATAACTTATTCTCCAAACAAGGTAAAAGCAAATATTGTATAAGATTTCACAATTTATTCAAATAAGTAAAGAATTATAAATAAGCTTAAAATTTTCCGGCGATTCTGTTCGAGCAGAATTGTCTAATTAATTATAAAATATAATATAAAATAATTGTTGAAATAATGTAAAAACAAAGATTTGTTAATTAATAATATTCAAACATATAAAATAATTTTTATTCAATAATATTATCTATTCTGAC